CCTGGTTGTTTGCCCAATTTGTTTTTTTTGGATTTGATTGTTGATGGCTGTGAATTTTTTGCCATTTTAATGTTCATAGTTATGGTCTTCTTCTTTTTCTTAAATAAGTCCTTTTAACTTTTCATGTAATAATGGATTGTTGATGATGAACTCTTTTAGCTTTACCTGTCTGGGAACCCCCTCTTTTGCCCTTTGATTCTAAATGATAGCTTTGCTGGATAGAGTAATCTATGTTGTAGGTCCTTGTTTTTTTTATCACTTTGAATCCTTCTTGCCAGTCCCTTCTAGCCTGCAAAGTTTCTTTTAAGAAATCGACTGACAGTCTATGGGAACTCCTTTGTAGGTAACTATCTGCTTTTCTCTTGCTGCTTTTAAGATTGTCTCTTTATCTTTAACCTTTGGCATTTTAATTATGATGTGTCCTAGTGTGGTCCTCTTTGGGTCCATCTTGTTTGGGACTCTCTGAACTTCCTGGACTTGTATGTCTATTTCCTTCACCAAATTAAGGAAGTTTGCTTTCATTATTTTTTCAAATAAGTTTTCAGTTTCTTTCACTTTCTCTTCTTCTGGAACCCCTATGATTTGAATGTTGGTATGTTTGAAGTTGTCCCAGAAGCTCCTTACCCTATCCTCACTTTTTTCAAAAAGTCTTTTTTCTTCCTGCTGTTTTGATTTAATTTTTTTTCTCCCTAGTGTTCAAATCATTGATTTGATTCTTGGCTTCATCCCCCACACTGTTTTTTCCCTGTAAATTTTTCTTTAACTTAGTGTAGCCTTTATTTCTGCCTGGGTCTTTTTTATGCTATTGAAGTACCCAGTGGGTTCCTTGAGCATCTTAATCAATGTTTTCAACTTCATCTAATATTACGCTTATCTCCATTTTGTTTAGTTCTTTTTCTGGAGTTTTGTTCTGTTCTTTCATTTGGGCCATATTTCTTTGTCTTCTCATTTTGGCAGCCTCTTTGTGTTTGTTTCTGTGTATTAAGTAGAGTTGATTTGATTCTTTGTCTTAGTAGTGTGGCCTAAAATAGAAAGCACTACCTTAAGTTGGATGGGGTGGATCCTTAGGTAACTACCTGGGCAGAGCCATCAATGTGAACTAGATTGATGGAGTCTCAGATATGGTGTTGCTACTCTGTGGTTGTGTTGGGGAGGGCTCAGAAAAGAGACAATGGCTGCGGCCTGGCCTCTGGAGTTTTGTGTGGAAGGAAGATGTCCCCTGGCATTTTCTCTGATACCAGACACTTCAGTCTCTCCCTGCATATCACTGGTGCCCTTCAAGCTGCTGCCTCAGTGCTGGAGCCCAGAGGGAATGAGTTAGCTTAAGTTCTAAGTCCCTTCTGGACCCTTTAAGTAAGAGATGCCAGAGAATCCCACTGTTTCTTCCACCACCCTAGCCCCACTGGTTTTTACAGCCAGAAGTTATGGGGACTTATCTTCCTGGCACTGGAACCCTGGGCTGGGGCGCCTGGTGTGTGTCTGGGAATCACTCCTGAGATATTTCTCTCAGTTTTTAACTACCACATATGTGTGTGTGTGACCACCCATTCCATGTCTCCACATCTCTGCCCTTCCTTTGTGTCTGAATGGATGTGAATTCTTTAATTCCTTGGTTGTCAGATTTCTATACATCTCAATTTTCTGATGATTCTCGGTGCTAGTTGTTTTGTTGTTTAGTTGTAATTTTTGCTGTGGTTGTGTGAAAAGGTGAGCCGTGTTTACCTATGTCTCCATCTTGACTGGAAATCTCCTTTTGTTTAATTTGATCTAAGGCTCTCATTCTTGTAGTGTGTTCTCAGGTACATGAGCAATCTCAAGGATAAGTGGACAACAGCTCTCATCTGCACAGCAAGAATATTTTTTGTTGTTTTATCATCATGGAAAACAACTATTTGGAGTGCAGAGCCTATTGAACTACCTAATTTCTGCTAATTAGAGCTTCCTTATTTACCATAGTGTCCTCCTAGACCTCTTCACCTTCAAAATTTGATGGAAGAGTAAATTCTAAATGGGTGGCCCCATTACTTGATATCCTACTGGAAATTGGTCTGAATATAATTAAGTGGTGCAGAGGCTTGGGGAGGCTGGGCCACGTGAAAGGCACAGAGGAGAATCCAAGGTTAAGTGAAGGTTGTCTATGTATGTGTAATAAAGGATTCCTGTTCCAGGCCTCTAAACTGAGGGTTTAGGACTTGCTTTATATACTAGATCCATCCCTCACTGGTAGGTTAGGCCTACCATACACAACAAGGTGTTATGTGTGTGTATTTGTAAAAAAAATGTGAGTTGGTAAAAATAGGTTTTAAGAATAATACCTCTGTACCCATCTTGAGCTGCCCAGGGATGGATATATAAATCAAGGGATAAATTGCGTAACCTTTAAAAATTCTGGGATTTTCTTCCTTGGCTTCCAGAGCTACCATAAGCAATGGCTTTCTTTTGGTGCCTTCAGCCAGTGTTCTTCCTTTCTGCAGTGGTGATTAGTGTTGTGGTAGCTAAAGGAGAAAAAGGGGGGTTGATTATATGCTGTGAGATCACCCCAAACTTACCTCAGTGTGCTGAAAAGGGCAAATGCAATAGCACACATTGGGTGATGTGTGTCTGATCCTGGGTTTTTGTCTCCCCCAAATGGTGCCCCTTTCTAGTTACTGTATTTGTATGATTTAGTGATTGCTAGCTGGTCTAGTTTGTGTAAATATAATATGTTGGTCTGTTTCCATGTTCTTTTGGGGTTTTATTGTTTAAAATATTTTTATATTGAGAAAAATAGCTAAAGCTTCTTTGACAAAAGATTCTATATCAGGCAAAATGATCTGAAACATAAGCTTGGAGATGCGTCTTCTTGAATGGAGTGTGAACCATCCTTTCTTTTGTTTCTCTTTCCCCTATTTCCTCTTTTAGACCAGATCTTCCGTCTTAAAAACTTGGCTCCTACCCTATCTCCTCTTCTATATCCTGCCTACAGAAAGTTCACCCCCATCTTTAATTTGTGGGCTGTCTCCTCCAATTCTTAAATGTTGTATGCAATATACCTGGAGAAGCTAACACTACTCTATTCCTTGTTCCCAATCTCCTGAATCAAGACCATTCCTTAACATGTGATTAATGCCAAACACTTTGATTGCTATAGGTAAATGAATCAAACATACTTTAATTTTTAATCTTAGAAGCAATGAGGGGTGGCTTCCATTTTGAAAATGGGGTCAGGAGACCAAGAAAGGGAAGATGAACATATATCCAAGTCACCCAGGAAATTTCATGCAAGAAACTTATGTAAAAGTAGCCACAAGTTTGTCTAATAGGAGACAAATGAATGTAACTCCATCTTCACTGATAGAAACCAAAGCTTTATGTGAAATTTTGAATTTATGGGGAGGGAGGGTAAGAAAGCATGCACCTGTCTGTTCTTTGCCTGATCCCTTCCCCTCATTTCTGAACTGCAGAAGACTGAGCCTCATTGGGCTTTGGCGACCACCATTGCTGGGGACTGTTTATGTTGCTGTGCCAGGTACTTCAATATACTCTATAATTTTGCAAATTACCAAGAGTTTCACAACCAGCTTGTGAAATTTCTAAATATATTAAAACCCACAAACTAGTTTGGCTTCAGCACCTCTGCCTGAAGATAATACCCTCAGGATTTGTTTAGAAAAAGAAATATCCTTTAGTTCAGCCCCGGAATTTCAGACAGCTCAGAGGGGCATTTTGGGACCAGGCTACCCCAGCTGATTCAGTAAATCTCATCTACAAAGTTCTCAGAGCTGTGCTGCTCACCTTGAGAAATGCAGAAGTATGTAAGACATGAGGCTAGTCCACAGGAAGTGGCAAAAAGTTGCTCAGTTAAGTTGAGCATCTGAGAGGATTTCACAGAGAAGATGAGTCTAGAGTTCAGGACACTGGCTTGGTAGAGCTCCCTTTGCCCTTCCACACACATACAACCCAGAGGCAAGCTCTGATCTGGTCAATTCTCTGCCACATTTTAATTCTGTGACATTTGAGCTGCACTAATTTTGCATATGGTTTACCCTTGACCAGAATGAAAAGACCCTAGAGCATTTCAAATAAAGTGACCATAGCAAAGGAAAAAGCAGACACTGGGATTACCTTTCCTCCTATCTGGCAGCAGGACAACAGCGGTGATGATGCTGTGACCTTCAGTGTGCATATAACACTTACAGAAACTCTACAAAAAGCACCCACCCATGGACAATATCAGTTTACAAATGAGAAAGAAATTCAAGGCATCACTTATCTTGCCTAATATCACTCCACCAGAGCCAAGTCCAGGATCCAGGCTGGTCTCAATCTAAAGCTAGTGTTTTGTCCTTTCGATCTCATAACTCATCCATCCATCCATCCATCCATCCATCCATCCATCCATCCATCCATCAGATAGTTACAGAATACCTGCTATGTGGCAGGTACTGTACTAGATACTGAGATACAAAAGTTAACAGGTACAATGCTGTTGGTCACTGCTGACAGGGGCTGGGGTTACATGAGGTTCTTTTCTGTAGCTCTGCCAGAGTCCAGAAAAGGGATTTTCCATGTGCAGAGCAGCATATTTTACCCTGGACTCTTGCTGAATCTGAGTCCAAAAGTCTTTGAAGGACAGACAGCCCAATGTGCCAACTAAGGGCCATTGCTAGAAAAGAGGCCCTCAGCAGTTCAACAATCTCTCTGCCAGCACTCTGCTGTTCTTTCTGGACCACAGATGGTCATAAACCCATTTTGTTTCTGGGTGCATGGCTCCCCCTCCTGAATCCAGATTAGCTTCAATCCAAAGAGAACTTCCAGTCTGAAGTTCTTTGGAGGAAGCTTCTGCCTCCTCCGAAGGCAAAGCTGCTCACTGGTTCCTTCTATAGGGGCTTCTCTATGACTCCAATTTCTGCAGCATTTTCCCCCTCCTAGCTTCCCTTGTACATTATTGGCTAAACTTACCTCACAGCATAAATGTATAAATCCATTTTATCATCTTATAACATCTTTCTCGTCCTCAGATCCTGTACCCAAGCCTGTCATAAAAATTGAGAAAACACAGCAAGTGAACAACAGCTGTTTTCTGATCCTGTCATGTGTGATCCCAGATAAGTCTGTCAACTACACCTGGTATAAGGAGTCAGGGCCCTTTCCAAAAGAGCTCCAGAGTGATGTGCTTGAGATCTCCATTGAGCCAGAAGACTACTCCAAGTTTTACACATGCCAAGTCAGCAACCCTGTGAGCAGTAACAATGACACAGTCTACTTTACTTCAGCCTGTACACCTGGTAAGAAGTATTCCCAAGGGAGCTGAGGTGGGTTCAGAATCACTAGTTTTCTCTTGAATGAAGAAAGGTGTGGGGTCCCTATTCGGCATAATGGCACAGAATTTGGTGGAGAGTCACAGAGACATCCAGGAGACTTGGGTTCTACTCATAGCTCTGCTAAAACCTCCCAGTGAACTCACTTTATCTTGTGGAACTCAGTGTCCTCATCTGCAAAGGGTGGTTGCACAGGATATCCCCTTTTCCTCACCTGCTCTAACAATGCATGGTCCTCAAATCTGCAGCCAGGGTCATTGTAGGACAGTTTGAGATATCAGAGTGAACAGACAGAAAAAGGACAAGTAGGAGAGCAGGCCACACATTGTTCAGCAGTTGCACCAAGGGGTTTAGACAGCCTAAATCAGCAAAATAAAGGCCAAAGAGATGAGCATGAGTAAAAACAAGTAGTGAACAAGAGTGAGAACCTTAACCTAAGGCAGAGACACTCTGCTCTCACCAGCTGTGTGCTTCTTGATGAATTTAGGTAGCCAAATTCTGGGTTTTATATTTCACATTCCTCTATCTCCTGGGAGGATCTACTCACTCACTTGAGAATCACTCCTGGCTCTCTACCAAGCCTACACAGATCCTATAGTGAGGTAGCTGAGACTGAGTAGTAAGTTCATAGGTTTTGGAGTCAGATACCTGGGATTAATTCTGGGAATGTCACTTACTAGCTAAGCACATTACTTAGCTTCTGTAAGTCATATCCCTCTTAAATAACAGATAAAATAATAGTTTTTTTATCTTATGCTGTTGTAAGGATTGAATGAGACAATACAAATAACGTAGCACAGTGTCTGACAAGTCTTCAGTGAATGGTAGCTAAATTAGACTCATTCCCTTCAATTTAGGAGATGCTAAGGGTTTGGGGGCCCCGTTAATAAATATGGATCACTATCACCAGCATTCAGGTCTCTCTCATTCTTCATACTCCTGAAATCACATCTCTGAGCCCTACTACACATAACCTTCTAGAATAATTCATCCCAGTGATGCCAACAATTACCTGAGATCCCTGTTATACCCAGTGATCAGGGACCATGGTCCCCAAGGACACAGCTCTTTCATGGTTTTCTTGGATCCAGTCTACTCTCCCACCTGTACTGATTTCTTTACCTCTGCAGCCACAGGTGGGCTATGGAACTTGTATTTTCTCTTTTATTCTTCCCAACTAACTGGCCATGTCTCTTCTAGTCTCCTCATATTTGCTACTTTTCTGTCACCTCAGACTCAACATGAAATTTGATGTCTGATTCTGAGACCACAAGTTGACTGGGCAATTCCAGCACCACCTTCATATCAACACCATACCCTGAGATCCAGAAAAATAAAGACATGTAGTCCCTGTCCTTCATTAAATGAAAGTGACTGCTCATTTGCAGAGAAGATGAAAACAATAATACATCAATTTTTTGAAAGGACTAAACCTGTCTTGTCACTTTTTAGCTGTCTAAATTATCCTAGAAAAGCATCCGTAACCTCCCTTTTCTATTTTATCACTCATTCTTTTTCTCTTTATTTGTACTTCCTTCTCTCTCTTCCCATCTATCTCCTCTTCTCTCCTCCTCTGTTTTTTCCCCTCCCATCCCTATCTATTCTTCTAGTTGGTATAGATGGTTAATGGGGTGGAGAAACAGTAAGAAGAAGTAGTCCTTGTCTCTCCAAGGTCAGCTGTGCATAGCATTTATGGTCATCTGTTTACACCTGAAGTTCTGCCCTAATTCAATGATGTCCAGTGGAGGAGAGTGATTTTTTCCCATGCAAAGTGACCTGCAAGCTGAGGACTCACCTGAGCTAGTGATAGTTAAGGGGTTTCTACATTCTTTACATTTTGCATCTGGGGAGATTGAATCAGTGTGAGAAAAGGATGTCCCAGACACACTGGGACTGGATTAGGGAGGAAACACACTCTCCTGCTCCAGTGACAATGTCCACACCCCCACCCTTTCTCAATGCACTAATGAAGACACCTAAGTGTTTGGGGTTCTCTTGCCCTTTCAGCCCAATCTTCTGGAGTAGCTTGGATTGCAGCATGGCTAGTGGTCATAGTACCCACCATTCTTGGCCTCCTATTGACGTGAGACAAGCTCTCCTAATTCAAGCATGAAAGTCGAAGACTGCAAGGTCTTGCCTTCATCAGGAAATATGCGCTTAACCTGGACAGAAGCTCTGGCTCTATGAGATAAAGTATGCTGAAGCATGTATAAAGACTTTCAAATTAACTTTTAAAAGTCATGGTTACAGTATGGTGATTATCAGAGAAAAAGGGGGGTAGGGGAAAGAGAAGAGGGTAAAGGGAGATAAGTGAGAGACTTGACTTGGGGTCGTGAACATACATTACAATATACGGAGATGTATTACTGAATCGTACACTTGAAACCTATATAATTTTATTAACTGTCACCCCAATAAGTTCAATTAAAAATAAAAAATAAAAGAGAAAAAAAAGTTGAATTTCACAGTTCAGGTTTGCCGACTTTCCATAATTGAAGGTTGAAGTGGTGTATTTATATCTGTGGATTAAGGAATAAATTATTAACAGTTCATGGGCAATGTAGCCATGTAGGCTATTTAGACAAATATTGGGTGGGAATAGTCTCTTTTTTCAGATATGAAGGATTTCATTTATGACATGCCATCCTAAATCTCAATTTAAAATAATTAATAAAAATTAAAGCACTTTGCAAAAATAAAACTGCTAAGCATGAAAATAAAAATAAAAATCATGGCTAACATGTTATTTTAGTCCCCATAATTGTTTTCCAACACACATATGTAAACACACATGCATTTTTTTCCATCAAAAAATGTGATTAGCCCTGGCTGGTGTGGCTCAGTGAATTGAGGGCCAGCCTGTAAACCAAAGGGTTCCTGGTTTGATTCCCAGCACGGCACATGCCTGGGTTGCAGGCCAGGTCCCCAGTATGGGGCACGTGAGAGGTAACCACACACTGATGTTTCTCTCCCTCTCTTTCTCCCTCCCTTCCCCTCTCTCTAAAAATAAATAAATAACATTTTTTTAAAAATGTGGTCATACTATGCAATGTTGTATGCAATGCTTAAATAAATATTTAATATTGTTGTCAAAGTGGATTCCTGAAGTTGACCCAAATCTGTCAGACAATGCCAGCTGCATCAGCCTGGAAAAACTGGGACACCAAGGTAACTAGGGGAAGAGCCGGGGACCATAAACTTTCCGCTCCTGTGTGGCCAAAGAGTTAATTTGTGCTGTCTCTGAGTCTTGCTCCCACACCCATGTCAGACACCCTTGAGTGGCAGCGCTTCCAGATTTCCCCATCCCCAAGATCTGGCCTCATTCCTGGTGGTTTGCTTTCTTCTGGTTCCTCTGAAGAACATAATCAGGTTTCCTGGGAATATGGGGTCAGGCTTACATCCCCAGAACTGAGTATGCAGCTTTAACACATAAAAGGGCCCCTCCCCAACCTTTCATGGGGAGCAGAGCTCCCCATCCTCTTTCATCATTGTTGCTGTGTAGAACTCTTCAAGTTCTAGCTGTGTCAGGGGATCCAATAATACCATTAAATTGACTAAATATTCTCACCAGGGTTTTTCACTGCATTATGTCTGGCCCAGCACTGATATAACAGTTGGAATTTTTGCCACATGTTTTTCTCCTCTAAGGCGCCCCATAGGCCAGGGACTAAAAAGGGTCACCAGAGGGTAGGCTCCCTTGACACCAAACAATCCTTCCCCATATCCAGTCCTCTGTGGCAGAGGCAAATACTGTGTCTTCACCAAACTTTTCATTTTCCTCCGGGGTAGTAATGGTTAATTTTAAGTGTCAGCTTTACTGGGCCATGGAGATGCCCAAACATTTGGTCAAACATTATTCTGGGTATATCTGTTAGGGAATTTCTCTGTGAGGTTAACATTTGAATCAGCAGACTCAATAAAGCAGATTACCCTCATCGAATAAGTTGTAGCCCTGAGCAGAAAAAAAAAGGCTCACCCTCCTGCAAGTATGGGGCAACTCCTGCCTGACTGCCTTCAAGGTGGGACATTTGGTTTCTCTTGCCTTCAGCCTTGGACTGGAACCACATCATCAGCTCTCCTGGGTCTCCAGCTTGCCCACTAGTATCTTGAACATCCATTATAAGTCCCTCATTTGTCTTCCTATACATAAAACTTGAAGGGATGATTCAGTGAACTCAAGCCTTTTGTCTTTGTGCACGGAAGATATGCCAGTATTTGCCCGAAGTTCTAATCGTTAACTGGATGAAGTCTGAGGACAAGTCTTTCAATATAGTTGCTCAGCATGCTCTGGCTGCCATGCAGCACTGCCCTCTGCTGGCTCCACTGTAGAACGTTTCAGTAAAATTTAGAGCCTTGGATTAGATCAGTATTTCTCAAACTTTTGCTTTAAGTAAGGACAGTCACCCAGTGGTCTTGTGAAAATGCAGAATCTAAGACAATAGATCTGGGATGAGAACTGAGATTCTGCATTTCTAATGAGTTACCAGGAGACGCAGATGCTGCTGCTCATACACCATTGTTTGATCAGCAAGGGACAAGATGTCTCCAGGCATTCTGCTGTTCTGGCCATTAAGCTTTGTGGTTCTAGTCCTGTCCATGGGACTTCGTTCTATCCTCCACTTCCTACCCTGCTCAGATCCTGGATATCATGCTCATTCCCTTCTCAAGTTAAATTTTTAAGTGGTGCTTTCTAAGTTTCCATGATCCTTATGCATACTGGCTGTGCTGCCAGGGATCATGTTAGTGCTTGTCCAAACAGGCAGCACTGGGGGACACATGGAAGGTTTGCAAGGACAGGAACTGAGATAATGCAGCCTTTACATGCAGCTCTGCAGAAAGAAAAAGCTTGAACTGGGCCCTGGTGGCAGAACGAAGTAGAGGAACACTAAAATTAGACCTAGATCCTCAAATCAATGAGTTCATTCATTTCCCACCCATATTTATCAAGTGCAGGCCATGCTGCGAGCTGAGGACCAGTACTAGGAGCTGCTTAATGAAAGCCAACATCCACTGGGCCCGTCAATGTGCCCAGCTCTGTGCTGCGCTCTTTACCCAAGAGCTTCCCTCTAAGGAATGAGGCTGTGTATTGGGAGAGGAATTCTTTCCGAAATTCTTCATTGCGGGTTTCAATTTTAAGTAGCTTCCTTGACTGTTTTATTCTACACAACCCTTGCTCAGACCAGAGTTTCCATCTTTTATTTTCGCTTCTTATCCAGGAATAACAAGATCCACCACTTGCAGTGACTTTGGGCTAGTGCTTTTGTTAAAGTGGCAGCCCCTGCACCTAGAGAAGTATGCTCTCTCTTCCCCTCACCTCCTTCTCTCTCTTCTGCATCACCTCCTCAGAAGGCTGTGTGGTGGAAGATGGGACAGATTTGGCCCAGAGTCACCTATACTAGCTGCAGAGTAGTAACCACAAATCCTTGTTTTCTTTCACCAGCTGCTCTGCCCATCCCCCTGTGCTCCAATAGCCCAGTGCCTTTGCCCAGTTTCTTCTCCCACAGCCTTAGTCTTCTCCCTTCTCTTTTCCACCATCTTTTCTCTTCCCAAATTTTTATCACCCTCATTTTCTATTTCTATCATCTTCCTCCCTCTTATTTTTCCCCCTTTGTTCCACCTCATCCTGCTGATACATTTCTTTCATCTCTCCTGCTTTTTACTGAGTCCTCACCATGTTCTGTTCTGCCTCTGATGTTCCATCTGCCAAGAAGGGTCTCACAGTCCCTGATAGTTAGTGCCTCGGTTGGTTTCTTTCCTTAGTGAAACAGAAACTGTGGTCTACTCAATAACTCCTTTTCAGCCCACTGACCCCTGTGCCTGGGAGCCCAGCTTGAGCAGAGGTTCCCTATGGAGCCGAGAGCATAACAAACCTGTTGATTCATTCTATCAACACATCTGTAATGGGATTCCTGATGAGACTTTTCCCAATGCCTCAAACTTAGAACTAAGACAAAGAGGCTTTACATTCCAAAAACAGCTACAAATAAATCAGGAATAGTACCACCTCTAGGCTAAGTAAGGGGTGATCAAATTGATTTTGCTCTTCCAGCAATCACCTTAGCACTCTTTACCCCCATTCTGTATAAATAGAAAATTAGAGAAGAGAAAATCATCAGGATAAAAATTGTTGGAGTTGGCAAAGACATGTGGCTTTTCTCTCTCTTCTGCATGAATGAAGTCTCCTTTCTGTAATGCCAAATGAAAGGGGCTCCAAAAGCACCACTTGAAAAATTCAAGGAAGACAAAAGAAGTGAAGGTCTCTCTTCCTGGATGGGCAGTGGAATTGTTGATCTTCCAGAAGATAGAAACATGGCATTTGAATGAGATGGGGAGCAGTGAGTCACTGCTTGGCATGACGAGGATGTAGGAGTTTTCACAGAGGACACTGCAGATCGTAGCCAGTCCTCATTTGTCTTGCTACCTGGCCACCAGGTAGGCAGATCTGAGCAGCCAGGTTGAACAACACATCATTGGTGAGAGATGAATGGGAGGAGGGTTGGGAAAGGCCAAGCCAGAGAACATCTCCCACATCAGCACTCTTCAGTGGAGAGCTCCCCACTCCCATCAACCTTACTGTGGCCCCCAAAACACTTACACCTGTGCTCTTTGAATGAGTCAGTATTCAGATGTCTGTCAAAGAAGGCATCCACAGTGCATCAATGTTAGTCAGAGGAACAGAGAAAACCAGCAGCAGCCAGGTGACAGATGAATAGTTCGGCCTCTCTGCTATGCCCTACATCACTGGAGAAGGTGGAGCTAAATGAGGTAAAACAGGAGGTGAGAAAGATTGGACAATACCTTCTTTCCTGGTATAAATTTTTGGACAAACCTGAGCTGGACTGACAGGAAGGGGTTAAAGGGGGAGTTTTACTTTAAACTGTACTGTTAAATTACTAGAAGTGATAAAAATGAAACGAGGGATTTTCCAAGTATCCTTAAATGATGAAAGGCAGAATTGACATAATCCTGATCTGAATGTGGGGAAAATATTAACTCTCAATCAACCAGGTTGAGACTATTGAAAACACTGTTTATATGTATTTAGTAAACAATTGCTATGCATTAAACACTATTCTAGATTTAGCACTGAGAAAGACAGAGTTCTTGCTTTATGCAGGTGATATCCTTGTCTGGAAGACTGCCCTAAAAAATATTAGTAATTTAATTTCAATCATGACAATGCTACAGGTGTCATCAAATATGACAAATGCCAGATAAAAGAGCTAGTGAGGACTAAGCAAATGTAAACTAGAAAGATCAGATCTAGTCTTGAGGATCTTCTTTTTGGAATCAGAGACTGAAAAATGAAATGTCAAGGGAGAGAAGCCTTCAAGAAAGAAGAAAGGAGGATGAGGTTGGGGTGCTCTGGAAGCACCCCTAGTTGCTGGAGAAGTATGACTAAAAAAGCACCTATAGAAAGCTATTGTCACATTTCTAGATAACAAATAGAGAGGCATCTTGAGTGATGGTTCTTGAAAAATAAAACCAACTCTCAAAGAATCAAATAATAATCATTCTTAGCATAATAATTCTGGGATTTTTATTTCTTAAGATTCAGGATCAGATCAATGAGAAAAATAGGTTTTTTCTAATATGACCGAAGCCTGCTTATTTCTTAGAAAAACTAGTTAGAAATTCAGCTGCAAAATTTCAGTAGTAGGGTGCTTCAATTAGAATAAAGTTGGCCCACTTTCTCTTTCACCCTTTAGGCCAGAGTTTAGCTTTCCTGACTCCAAAATCAACTTGGAGTAAAGGAGAATGTCAATAAGCA